AGAGAGATCTCGCTAAGGATGGTCAATCAAGAGTGACTTCTCCCGCTGCCGCGATGGGCCAAATGCGCTAGCAAGACTTCCGGGGCCCGGATGTGACTTGGTGTTATTTTGTTGAGAGTTCGATCATGGTGGGCCGGTTTGGCGTGTGTTTAGGACCCTGAGGTGGCGTCTTGTCAGTTTGATTGAGGAAGTATTGAATATTGGAGGTGATGGGAGCATGGAGGAGATGAGGTGTCATTGGCGTGATGTTTGGGTGTCTCAAAATTTAGAGCCATTATACCCCTCTCTTCCTTTTTGAATCTGTTTTTTGAGACGTGAGAAGAATGAAATTGAACGGGAAGCATGAGGATGGGAGGGAAAAAAAAGGGGAGGTATTATACAAGATGAGTTCGAGGGGTGCAGTCACTACTTGATAAATAAATCAAATACATATTAAGAGGTTCTCAATCTATGTACACAAATTTGGTTTCTATTCATATTGATTCAATATTCTTTGCCATTGAGTTTTTGACTGTTGTACTCTTTCTAACTATTACCCCATCCCACATTTTCCTTTTTTTTAAAATTTAATAACAATTCGGAATTAAACCAATATCGGGAGCTATTATCACGAGTACAAAGATACCCAGCTCCAACGATGATTGGACCGTGGGCAAATTTTACCTAGCACCAACAGTTTAAAGCATGCCGTTGAGCCTGTAAATTTTTAGAAACCATATGAGAAAAGATTTTTTCCCTTCACAAAAAATACCCCTGACCCACTCTCCCCTCACCCCCCCCTCACCGTTCTCTCTCTACCAAAAAAATCCAAACCCCAACTTCCCAACCTATTTCGTCGTCAAGAGACTCAAGAGAGATCTCGCTAAGGATGGTCAATCAAGAGTGACTTCTCCCGCTGCCGCGATGGGCCAAATGCGCTAGCAAGACTTCCGGGGCCCGGATGTGACTTGGTGTTATTTTGTTGAGAGTTCGATCATGGTGGGCCGGTTTGGCGTGTGTTTAGGACCCTGAGGTGGCGTCTTGTCAGTTTGATTGAGGAAGTATTGAATATTGGAGGTGATGGGAGCATGGAGGAGATGAGGTGTCATTGGCGTGATGTTTGGGTGTCTCAAAATTTAGAGCCATTATACCCCTCTCTTCCTTTTTGAATCTGTTTTTTGAGACGTGAGAAGAATGAAATTGAACGGGAAGCATGAGGATGGGAGGGAAAAAAAAGGGGAGGTATTATACAAGATGAGTTCGAGGGGTGCAGTCACTACTTGATAAATAAATCAAATACATATTAAGAGGTTCTCAATCTATGTACACAAATTTGGTTTCTATTCATATTGATTCAATATTCTTTGCCATTGAGTTTTTGACTGTTGTACTCTTTCTAACTATTACCCCATCCCACATTTTCCTTTTTTTTAAAATTTAATAACAATTCGGAATTAAACCAATATCGGGAGCTATTATCACGAGTACAAAGATACCCAGCTCCAACGATGATTGGACCGTGGGCAAATTTTACCTAGCACCAACAGTTTAAAGCATGCCGTTGAGCCTGTAAATTTTTAGAAACCATATGAGAAAAGATTTTTTCCCTTCACAAAAAATACCCCTGACCCACTCTCCCCTCACCCCCCCCTCACCGTTCTCTCTCTACCAAAAAAATCCAAACCCCAACTTCCCAACCTATTTCGTCGTCAAGAGACTCAACGGGTTAAACTGTTGGTGCTAGTAAAATTTGCCCCAACGGTTCCAATCACTCGTTGGAGCTGGGTATCTTTGTACTCGTGAATATAGCTCCCACGATATTGAGTTTAATTCCGAATTGGGTTATTAAATTTTAAAAAAAAAGAAAATGATGGTAATAGTTAGAAAAGAGTACAAACAGTCAAAAACTCAATGCAAAGAATATTGAATCAATATGAAATAAGAAACAAATTTGTAGTCACTAGATTTGAGAACCTCTATATGATTTGATTTTATTTTCAAGTATGACGTGGC